GTTAAGGAGCATTAAGTGTAGAACCACTAGACTTAGGAACAGCTTCTACCCTGAGGCTGTTAGATTCACAAATCTCTAATAAGGATAATCACTGTGAAAAATCACATTATGTTGCTGCTGATCTTTTTCATGTTAATGTTTTCATGCGTGCTCATCTGCTCACACAGACTCATGTTTGTGCTTCTGTTCGACGTAATTTTTTTTTGCCATTAGTGCTTAGTGTATTTTTAGTTGCTGTTTTTCTTAGTTCATATCTTAGAACTTATTATTGTTTTTCTTTTACATTTTAATGTTGGATGTAACGGGGACCCTGCGTACATAATCTCGTTCTACCACAATAAAGAATCTCTGACACTCTGACTCTGACATACGCACATGACAGCAGCATGCAATATGTATTCCTTCAATGAATGCAAGGTCTTTTAATTTAAAAAGCAGTGTTCTTGTACTTCAGACAAGTGTGTGAGTGAGAGAAAGAGAGAGAGAGAGAGAGAGAGAGAGAGAGAGAGAGAGAGAGAGAGAAAGATAGAGAGGGAAAAAGGGAGAGGGGAGGGGCAGGATTGAATGCTGTAGCCAATTGAACTCTATCTCTTGGTAGAAGTCCTGGCAGCTGTCTCTAAAAGAATCTGACACTGACAGATCTGAGTTGGGTCTGATGTTCACTTGGTGGGAGGACTGTGCTTCTGTTTTGCTCGGTGAACACTATCTATAAAATGTGCCTTGGTTACGTTTAATTCTTCCACCACGGAACCTCCAGATTTTGAATCCATGAACTTTACCTTGGAACCAGCAGGCTCGGGTTTCCTGATGTGTGAGGAATGGAGGAAAGGTTCAGAGGGTTCGCTGTTCCACCTCTCTAACATCATCCTCTTCTTGGGCTTGATGGGTGGCAGTGCCTTTTATGGACTTCTGTACCTATTCACCTTCCTGACTCTAGGCTTTTTCTTATGCACCCTGTGGGCCTGGTCAGACCCCTGCACCACAGACTCCTTCCTCTGGAGTCTGGCCCAGTTCGGAGTGTGTTTGGGTCAGGCTCTATATAGTACCTACAGACTGAGGAGCCTCTCATTTGACAAGGACTTCCAGGAACTTTACAACATAAAGTTTAAGAAACTCCGTGTGCCTCTGACCCATTTTAAGAAGATAGTTGCTTCCAGTGATGGATCTGTCTACACCCTGGAGGAGGGCCAGGTCTTTGCTGTAGAAGGCAGAACCACTATTGATAAGCTATCTTTGCTTCTGTGTGGCAGGTGACTAGACAGTTCTGATAAAGACTGCATGATTCTGATGGTGACCACTTACTTTGGTGGTGACTATATGATTCTGATAGTGATTGCATGGTTTTGATGTGACTGGATGGTTCTGACGGTGGCTGCATGGTGACTACATTGTCCTAATGGTGACTGAAAGTTTACTTTTAGCATAATTTCAATTCTGATTACACTGTACAACAATAGTAGGTACCAAGTAATCATTGAATGCATATCTTCAACAGCTTGACTTTTGTAGTCAAGTTCAGAGTTGACTCCAAACTTTTAGTCTTTTAAAGAAAAATTAAGGCCACATGCAAGGCATAATGACAGAAAGTTTGTGTTGTGTTCATTGGAGCTCTACACAACCAGGTCAAACATGTGTCCAGAGGGACAAAAGGGAAGGGAAAGGAAGAGAAACACACAAAGAAATCTCTCCAAACATGGATATCCTAACTGGGCTTTTGTAAAGTTAGTGAAGAAATATGAAAATAATATGCAACAAAACAGAACAAGGAGAAGAGCACACACAAAATAAAGGTAATCTAATTTGTTGCTGGAGTATCTGAGAAACTCAAAAGGATTTTGTCCAAGTTCACTTTAGCGTCCTGCTGCATTTCAAACATGTTAACAGTTAACTTTAACAGTTGACCACTGCTAACAGTTATATGAAGAAATATATATTTTTAATTATTTTATTGTGGGTCTGCTGTCGTACTGTTTCTTTTTTCTTTCACACCTAACATGTCCTTGGCTCTTAAATTGTCCATCTGTCCATCCATCCATCCGTCCGTCTGTCCGTCCCTCCCTCTGTCTGTTCATCCAAACGTCCATCCTATATCTTTATCTACTTCTTTTTTGGTAGGAGGCTCTCTCCACAGTTACTGTGCAAGAGGCGGAGTACACACTTGACATATTATGAGTCCATCACAGAGCCATATACTATTCCCACTCTCACCCACATTGAAATAAAGAAATAAATAAAGTGCTATGTGTTTTCATCATTGTATGTTCCCATACAAAGATGAAATTGGCTCTCTGAATTTAACCCATTGCACCTGGGATATACCCAGGTGGAGCAGTGGGCAGCTATGTAAACGCCAAGGGAGCAATTTGGAATTAGGTGTCCTGCTCAGAGACACCACGAGATGTGCAATGACCGAGGACCGAACCCAGGACCTTCGGGTCCCAAGTCGGCTGCCCTGTCCATACACCAGGGGTGTCAAACTCACTTACAAAAGGGGGCCAAAATTAAAACCATTTTCAAACTGAGGGCCAATTTCAGATTCTACATTAACTCAAGTTAGATATCCAACATCTTTTCTTGGTTGCAGGTCCCTCAACAAGAGTTTGATTGGTCTCATTCAATGTTCTCTGTTGTGCTTTTGACATCATCATCAAAGATTAATGATGATAATAATAATAATAATAATAATAATAATACTTTATTTATAAAGCCCTTTAAAACAACCACAGCTGCCACAAAGTGCTGTGCATATAAAATTAAGAACATTTAAACACATAAAACAGTTGTTAAAACATTAAGATCAACAAAAAATAATAAAAACTGTGCAGAGCAAATTCAGTGTGTGCTAAAATCCAGGGAGTAAAAATGTGTGTTTAAAAGAGTTTTAAAACTGGACAGTGAAGGGGCTTGTCTGATGGGAAGAGGAAGATTACTGAACAAATTCAACAGATAGAAGTATTTTATGTTTCTCATATCATCTTGGGGGCCAGATAAGATGTCAACAACGGCCACATTTGGCCCCAGGGCCTTGAGTTTGACACATATGTCCTACACCATCTCGGAGGACAATTTAGCACTACTAGTTAGAGCTGGTTGGTTACTGACTCACCCAAGTTAAAGATCTAAATCTTCAAACTGAATCAAGACTCATAAATTTGATGTCTGAATTAATGTAGATACAGCGTGTCTTCTGACAGAATACTCTATGTCTGTGACTTAGCAAACTCACAACTCCTCTCAAGCGCGCCGAATATGTCAACACATAACCTTATAATTGGAGGTGACACAAATTGTGTGCTTTCATCCCTTGACTGTAGTTCGATAGAGAAAACTACTCTGACTAAGTCTGCCCAGCTAATCAATTCATTCCTTAAATCATATGGTGTGGCTCATGTGTGGTGCCTCCATTACCCCATTTCAAGATTGTACTCATTATTTTATCCAGTCCATAAGATGTATTCGCAAATCTTTTTTTTTTTTTTTTTTTTTTTTTTGATAAACACATTTTGCTATAAGTGGAGGAATGTGACTGTGGAGCTACAGGCATCTTGAACCATGGTCCACTTATAAAATTGTGCATCCCGGTCACAAAATCAGCATATCGGCTTTGGAGGGAAGTTCAACTCCTTACTACTGTCCGTGGAAGACTTTACTAAGTTTCTTACATCTGAAATTGAAATTTTCCTCAATATTAACCGAACACTAGGAATGCCACTCTGTACTGTCTGAGAGACATTAAAGGCCTGCTCAAGGGGTCAAATAATTTCTACTGTGCAAGCAAAAAAAGAAGGGGTCGGCGTGGATAAACCAAATAATGGATGAGATACTGAAATTAGACAGAGAATATAGCCACTCCCCTCACTGGATTTTAGTTCATATCTCAGATCTTATCTTATTGCTGTTTTTCTTTTACATTTTATTGTTGAATGTAACTGGGACCCTGTGTACATAATTTCGTTCCACCACATGTACCACATGAGGTGCAAATGACAATAAAGAACCTTGAATCCTTGAAAAAAATCTTTACTATTCAAAACTGAGTTAATATTTTGTCCACTCATTTCAATTCAGTTTATTTCTAAAGCGCCAAATCACAACAAAGTTGTCTCAGGGCACTTTACAGGAACATTCACATAAAAGACAATTAGTAAAGTTCTCTATCTAAGGAATCCAGCAGACAAGATGAATCTTGGCTTCATTGAAGTCTCACTCCCACTCAGCAGGCAGAGTATTTAATTTTTAAATTTAGACAGGGTTATTATGAACACGGTAAAAAAGATGGGTGCCTGCCAAGGCTAGACGGAGGCATAAGCATCATAAGCAGCTGCTTAGGGGCCCCGGGCCGCTAGAGGGCCCCCTAAGGAAAAAAAGTGGAATTGAATTTTTTTTTAGTAATGATTTTTATACGATTCTTGTTAGAAAGCCCACATTGTTTATATGTGGTTAGTTTGTTTGCTGAGCTTAGTTCTGTTTGACTGTAGCTTGTTCTCTTTCTGAGTTTCATAAATCCTACGTTTTTGAATGCACTATGGCTGTTCTGACACACTTCTGTGTGATGTTCGCTGCTGCGTACAGTAATGTCTTTTTCTATTTTTGCTTTTTGAGCATCTCTTGTTGGTTCCCTGGTTTCCTGCTGTGTGTACAGGTAGATGAAAAAAGGTGAGCCTAAAGATGTTATACCATTTAGTCTGGATGTTAACATCATGTTAATGTATAATTTAGTCATGCAGAAGTTAAGTTGCATGTAGTGTGCTGTTAAAGCTAAAAAGCCAAGTCATGCTCTCCGTGTGCCTCATGTGAGATGTTTCTTTACTTTATATAATATGTATAACATACTTTATATTGCTTTATGTTGCTTGCTGGTTTATTGAACTTACAACCCTTTTTATATTGCTTTATTATTGAATATAGTTATTTACCACCTTAGTTATCACAATATGTTTGTCTTGACTATAGTAATAAGTTAATTAATAGTTTTTTGTATTGTTATTTCCAAAACACCGCAAATAAATCAACTTGCCGCTCTAAACTAGTTAATTTCCTGAAGAAAACTAAACGCTCTGCTTTTTTATCTAAAAAAGTTAAATCTGGTCCTCTGACATTCAAAAAACAAAGCAAAACAACAACAAAAAAATGTAGATACGTTTCTTCTTTCATCTGAAAGACTTCCTCAGTCTGAGGAGCTGTATTCAGCTCAGTCTTATAAACAGCACCTTCTCAGAGTGGATCAACCAGTTTGCTGCTGACAACCAAAACCAGCTGCTCACATGGTCAAGAAGGACCATCAGCCTAACAATGGATCATTAGCACCTGATGGCTGTTTACTGTTCACAGAGGGCTGAGTGATACTAGCAATCACAGCATTGTAAGAGGGGGACAGTTGAACACGTAGGCCTCCACCCCTGTTTAATGATGGACGGTTTCTTTTCACAAAGATGGCCTCCTTTACTCCTCTCTCAAACCATCGTTCCTCTCTGTCCAGGACGTGAACATCTTCATCCCTGAAAGAGTGACCTCTGGCCTGGAGATGAGTGTAGACCGCAGAGTCCTGACCTGATGATGTTGATCTTCTGTGCTGGGCCATCCTTTTGGCCAGTGGCTGTTTAGTTTCCCGAATTGTATTGCTGAGTAGAGTAGTAGCGACAGTTGTTCACAATGTTATAGAAAAAGTTATTTTCTGGATCCAAATCCTTTTCCTTGTCTTGATTTTATATTCAGTGTAGTCAAATGTTATCAGTTCCAGACAATCAACACTGCTCGATAGAGGTGTTAATGTTATGTCCATAGTTGATGAGGACAAAGTATTATTTAATTGAAACATGGTGATTAAGTGTCATGTGTGATCATCTGAGTTCCCAATCATCAATCAAAGCATTCAGTTGTATTTATCCAGTTCAGCGATGTCCCGAACAACCAGAACCTTTGCTTCCTCTGGAGCTCCATTCAGTTTAATGAAGATCTTACAATTTGTTGTCCATGTTAACTGGATCTTTTTCTGCTTTCTTAGAAACCGGGCCTTTCTGGCAATGTCAGCATTCTTCTTAGTCAAGTGCTCATTAATAAATACGTCGGATCCTTTCAACAATTTGCCTTGTTTTAACAAAGCAAACTTGTATTTCCTATTTGTGAATCTCATGATAATGGCAGGTTTATCTTCTTTTCCCCTTTTCGGAAGCGGGTGGCATGCTTCCACAGTGTCACAGTCCACTTCTAACCCCTTGGTCCGGAGGAAAGAAGCCACTTGTTTCTCTGT